ATAACCGTACTTGGGCACTTTTATAGCAGCCGGATATTAGCCAAATATGAATTTAGATAGTCTAAACTTACATACATCTAATAAATTTGTGCGAGGTTATCAAAGTTAAAAAAATATATATATATATAGCTACAAGTCACATGTTTATAAAGTCATAATTAGGTTAAAAGTTAAATTTATATATAACAATTACTCTCTCTTTTAATTATAAGCTTTTGCAAATCGACATTATAATAATTTTATATTAGTAGTAGTAATAATTACTAACTTTAATATTCTATTATCAATAGATAGGAATTATAATCTTATAGATCAATTATAATATTCTTGGGGCAATAAGTATTATATGAGATACTAGTTAGTATCTATTTATTGTCTTTTATAATATCTTTTTAACAATAAAACATTTTGAAAAGTATCTAGATTATGATTATTTATTGTTCATAGTTTATAAACATCCTGTATAACTTTTCTATCAATTATATAAGAGTCTAACTATTATGAAAGAAGTTTTTTAGAATGGCAGTTAACTTTAGCAATATCAAATAACAAAACCTTATTACTTCTGTTAAATATTCAAACTACTTTTTTTAACTTTCTGTTTCAATAAAGCTTTTGATACTTCTGCATCTGTTTATATTTTTTTTAGCCAGGACAAAAAGATCATTTACAATTGTTATTAATCTATTAGTGAGATATTTATTCATTTTCTGATTTGAAGTAATATTCAAATATTTAGCTTCTCAACTATATATTAGATAAAACAAAATAAATCTTATAATAAATTGCTTAGCAGTTCTATAAGCAAACAAAACTAAAAAAATAAGTATATCCTATTCCTAACTCTGAATTCAATAATATGGCTAGAGTTTTGCACAATATTCAATTATATTGCTCAACTAGCCTATTAGTTTATAAATAATATGATATAAATAGCAAGTACTTAATCTCTAGCTATTAGGTTATATACTATATTATCTTATTTTTTTTTTTTTTCTATTTAATAACCATGTACTAATTTATTAAACATTTGTTATTTATACAATAAACTATCTAACTACCTATTAGACTAGTATCTGGCTGTTTATAAAGTACCCAAGTACAGTTATCACACTGATATTGGCCAACTAACCCTATATATAGTGCTACCCATATTTAAAGGCCTGCTATAACCAGGTGCTTAGCTATCTATAAATTGAATTTTATATACTCTAATATTTATTTCGACTACCACCTAGGGGGAAGTGAGTTTGTAATCTGCTACTATATTGTCTCTTTTGTTATTTTATAAACTTCTTTCACACATTCCTTAACACTTGCTAGCCAGGACTTTTTTTTTTCTTCTTTTTCTTTGCCTGGAAAACTTTCCATAATTTTGTATTTTTTGTTTGAGAGGTTTTTGTTTACCCTATCTTCTGTATATAAACTTGGACTTGATTAGTATACTTTTCTCAAAGCTTCTGTTCTTATATTCCTCTCTAATGTGTTCAAGACCTTCCTGTCTTATTTCTCTAACTTGACTACTCTGCTTATTCACTTGCTTTTTTCATATGTTGCAAACTTTTTACATCTTTCTCTCTATATTACTCTGTAAAAGCACTCCTATATAGTATAGGCCAGTACTTCAAAGCATTGTCAACTCGAGCTATACTTTTTATTCATCTTGTATAAACGAAGAAAGTCTGCTTGCTAAACCAAGCCTAAAGTAAATCTTTTCCTTGTATCTTGTCTTGCTTGGTATATATTGCTATATATAACTTCTTTGAGATCTGATAGTGTATATTCAAATCTTGTTTCTTCTTCAAGTATAGTCCAGGCTATTGCTAATTCCTGCTTTTCAATTTCTGTCCAAACCTCTGCTAAACTTTTATATTCAAAATATAATTTATATCTTCAATCTTATTTTCTTTGCACAATACACAGTTTGCTGAGATATATATATCTGGCTTGTATTAATAAAGTATACTCAGTATAGAAAGTACTGGAAAAAGACCTTTTAATTGAATGACTAGTTTATTACTACTTATCAATGACTTGCATCTTTGCCCTCTAAGTTCTATTAGCCTTTTCTAGCACAAAGACCACATTGTACTGTTTTTTGCTTCTATTTGTCATAATAGTTTGAGATTTTTTGACAAGTACCATTTGCTTTTTATAAGTTTTCTTTTTACTCTGAGTATAAAGCTATGCAGTGGGTGTTAATTTTGTCAAGTAGTGTTCTGTTTTTCTTTTTTAGACTTTTACTAAACTCTTTTTCTTTGAGTGCACTCTTTATTGCCAAAATTGCTGCTGCACTATCTGATTTAATCTCGACTAGTATATCTGTCGGTACTGTTAATAGTGCACATAATATTGCTAGTAGTTCTGGTCTTGTAGATAAGGGCCAATTGCTTACTCTTACTTTGTCTTTGAATAGGTTGTATATCAGAATCCCGACACACAAAATCCCAACACACAAAATCCCGGCAACAAAATCCCAATACACAAAATCCTGACAAATGAAATTCCTAATTTTAATATTTTTAGGATTTTAATTTGTCGGGATTTTGTGTATCGGGATTTTGTTGCCGGGATTTTGTATGTTGGGATTTTGTGTGTCGGGATTCTGATATACAACCCTTTGAATACTACTTTTTTTTTATCTTTGGAGACCTGGATCCAGCCTGCATCCATTCTATTTTCTTTTCTTTTATTATGTTTATTTGGTAACTACAAGCTATTTGTATATTTACTTCTTTTGTATTTAAAGTTAATTCTTGTTCTCTCAAGTAATAAAGCTGCAATATTTGCTGGAAGGTTAGAATTCTTTATATACTCAATACATTTTGTCTCTAACTCTTCTGTACTCATAAGTTGGCTCTCCATGAGTTACTTTTCTTCTTGAGGTAATTATAAGTTTCTGGTACAATTTTAATGAATATACTATTGTTGTTTTTGATACATGTTCTACTCTTCCTAGTACTTTGTCTTGCTTTAGTTCTAGTATATAGTTGTTCTCTTTGCTCTTCTTGTTATATTCACATCTTTGACAGTACTTTACCAGAGTACTACTTTTGGTTAGGCCTTATTTTACCCAATATTCAACCAGTATTTTGCTATGTTTCTTCTTTTGTATTTGGTCAAATAAGAGTTGATTCTTTTTCTTCTCAAACAAGACCCAATCTCTTTTTTTTTTGTTTGGGTAAATATTAAATAGTTTGAAAACAAGAGCTTCTTTATGTTTCCTGTAAGCAGAACTGTGGTTTTACTTTTTGTTCTTTTGCTTTTTCCAGAACTGCTCTTCAATGGCTATATACTAGTAAGGAATCTTGCCACGGCTATTAAAACATTTGATTATTCTAACTTGTTGCTATGTTAATAAGTTCTGGATTGAGTAACTAATTGACATAGTATATATCTAGTTTTGCCTGTGCACTTCTACTATTACTTTTTTGTTTAGTGTCTAGCAAACTTGTAATTGTAGTTCTGACCCTTGGATATATCAGCTCTCTTCTTCAGATTTAAATATTATATCTATTTCTTTACACTGTTCAATTATATTTAATATGATATTGTTCTTTTATATTTTATTAGCTCTCTCTTGCCAAATGTTGTGTGTTATATAGTTTTTTAAAATTTCTTGTCTAATTTACACTTTGGTTAGGCTTTCTATTATACCAGAGCTATTTAGTCTTTTGAAAAGAGATGTAGCCTGTTTTGCTAAAACTGTCCCTGTAAGCATTTTGATATTTAGTGTATTTTCATATAATAATATACTATTTGGCACTATCTGGGCAATACCTAGCTTTTTTTTTATTAAATGTAGAAAGGGTTAGTGAATTAAATGTAATTCTCTTTCTAATATAGTCACTGTTTGTAGAATATAATCTAGTTTTGGGATTAAAACTTGATTGTTTTATATGCCAATTGGCTTGCCGTAGTTCTCTTTCTTTTTAATTTATGTGCAAACAAGCCCACAATTTACTTTATTCTTTTTTTTATCTCTTTTATTTCTTTAGTGGTGTGAGAGAATGTGTCTAGAAAGTGAATTTCGCTAAGCTTTTTAACTGCTTCCACTATAGTTCTACCATATTCTATTTGTCTTTCTTTTACTAAAAGTTTTGAGTTGAGTGCAATTAGCTTAAACTTGTTACTATTAATTTTTATACTATTTAATTGAAAGAACTATTTTGCAATCTGGATTATTTGCTTAAGCTAATCTTTGGAACTAGCAATCCATGTTATGTTGTTCGCATAAGCAAGAACTGCTTGTCTTAAACTTTTTTGCTTTCTGGTCCCTAGCAGCTCTTCAAATTGCTTTGAAATTTCGATTTTGTACCCAAACTCTTTGTTTTTTTGTATTCAATCTAACAGGGGATTATAGAAAATTCTCCACAGTAGGGGGAAATAGCCTCTCCTTGATCAATTCCCTCTTTTGCTAAAATTCTTGTATTAATTCAAACACTATTATAATCTTTAGCTTCCTGTTTGTGAACAGGTTTAGAATGAGTTTGTAGCATCTGTTTGGAACTTTAATTCTTCTTAAGGTTTTTTCTAACATGTTTAGGTTTATTGAATCAAATGCCTTTCTCATATCTTGAAACAGTAACTATATTTCTTGCTTGTTTTTTTTTGCTTTCTTGATAAGCATTTTTAACATATGAGCTAGCTCTTTAGTAGAGTTGCTAGGTAATTCTGCAAAGTTTGGGACCAGATAGGATATCCTTTTTTTTAATGACTTTGCTTAGCCTCTTTATTAGTATCTTTGTCACACATTTTCAAAATACTTCTATTAATACAATTGGTCTAACTCTATCTAGATTAGTAAATTTGCATTATTTTCTATTTAACTAGAATATTGCTAACTCATAGACATAGTTCTGCAAAGTTCCTAAAGACTTTTTGTAATCTTCTATCTGCTTGTTTCAATAAAGAGTATGAGATTGTTAACATTCCTGGGGCTAAGTTAGCTTTACTTTTCCTTAACATTGCTTGCCACTCTTCTAATATAATTGATTGCATTACTGGATCGAACCAGGAATCTTAGATTCTCTTTTTGGGTTGGTACTGTCAAACCAAAGTTTCTCAACCTCTGTGTAGCTATTTTTTTTGCTTATGAATTGCTTTTGGAAGTGGGCTTGAACTTTTTCCAGAACTTCTACAAAATCATTTAGTAATATTTCTTGGTTTTGATTTTGTAATAGTACTCTATCCAGGACTACTTTGTAAAAAGGCCACTCCAGAAGGCTGGTTAGCATTTTTTTTTGATTATTTGCAATTTGTTCTGCTCTTCTTTAAATATATGCTTGTATTTCTTTTTTCTTCTCCTACTTGCTACTTGCTATTAACTTGCCTTCGATTGCTTTCTACTATATAAGTGCATCTGCTTGCTACAGTATACACTAACTTCTAATATTTTGATATCTTTAATATTGCTATCTGCTAATGAGTTTATTTGCTTGATTCTTCTATTTCACTCTGTGGTTTTTTCTTGTAACTCGATATTGTTTGCTACTCTAGTCTTTTTAATTAACTTGCTTAGCAAGTAAGCTGCCTTTATAAATCTGCTTTTTTGATTTTGCAATTTACTCTTCTCCTATCTTATTTGGTAGATTGTGTTGACCTGCTAGTAAAACTGCACTTTCTAAAGACTCCTATAATTCATCAAGATCTGCTTCTAATTTTTCTAGTATCGATAGATTCAAACTATTAGTTGTTTAATATTTAGCCTACTTCACAGACTTGCTCAATAATTATTCCAATTTTCTTTTGTAGCTAAATTAAGCTTCAATACTCTTTGCTTCATACTTGGTGTATTTCTGGTCAGGTGGTTACTTAAATAGGTTGGCAGGTATCATTTAATTTTTGTAAATGCTAAGTTATGATTGCTATTTGTAATTGCTATCATGCACTTAATATTAGCCTTTTGCATTATTTTGACTATGTCTCGGAATATCTATAATTGATCTATTCTTGTTGCAACTGTATTATTGCTCTATGTAAACTTCTTTTTGTGAGGATTGAACAATTTGTATATCTCAATGAAATTATATTCCTTAAGCTATTTATGCAATGCTAGTTTTCTACAGCTCTCTGCTTGTGATGACTTGTCTAATACTGGATCTACTATATGATTAAAGTCTCCCATTATAATTGTAAGATCCTTATTTTGTGTTTTACTTATTTTGTCTTGAACTAACATATCTATCTTTTTTATCATCTTCATATCATTTGTGGGATATAAACAAGAATTACTACTAACTTGTAGATCTTAAAATAAAAGTGTACTATTAATATATATTCGTTTAGCCTCTCTATTTTGCCAATATGCTTTTCTAAATTCTCTTGAACCAGGAGGCCAACACCAAAGTCTTTCTTTTTAGATTTTGATCTGATCAACTATATTTCTTTGAAATTACTATTATTCTTTACTACAAACCTTGCTTCACACTCTTGCAGGTTTGTCTCTGTGACCCTAATTATATTGTATTCTTTTTTCTTTGCCTATTTTAACAAAAGCTCTATTCTATAATTATGCACCTTAAGCCTATTAATATTATATATTGCTATATTGATCTGCTTAGCCAGTTTGAATTTCTTGTTAGTACTAGCTGTGTCTAAACTTGGCTACTATTCAGAGTACTCATAATTGGTGTGGTGTCTGTGGCACCTCTCAGGAATGCATGGGGGCTTTGTCACCATTTTGACATTCTTTGAGTGATTCTAGTCTTTTAAGAATTTCCTGCAACAAGTTTACTTGGTCTGATTTTTTTTTACTGCTTCTTTCTACAAATCTTTTTGTTCTTGGTCAATATTTGGTCTTTTGTCTTTTTGTTGCTTATTAATATATTGAATATTCCTTCCTGTAAATTTGCATTTTGGTTTATTCATACTCTCTTTATATGACTTTACTATACTTCTGGCTTGAAAATCTAAGTTTTCTTTGTTTAGAACTAGATTTTCTTTAGTTAATCTTGGCCTCAAATCTCTTGCTTGTTGGTATCCTGTTCAAAGATTTCTTTAGCCTTTTTGCTTTCCAGATTAGTCTGCCAAGAGAGTCTATTTGAGTTTATTTGGGTCTTTTAGTACTATAAAGATGTTGTATACTTGTAAAGCTACTGCTTTCTGCCTCTCTATTATGTAATCTTTAGTCTAATTTTGTATTAAAATAGTATAATGTTGACTTCTAAGCTTGTAAGAGATCCTGCTCAGACTTAAAATACAATTGTACTCTTCTGCTTTGGTTGTTATTTTAGATTATTTAGTGTATGTACTGCTTATACTCTGTATTTTTTTAGCTGATAAAGTAGAAGACTATTATAGGCTGTTAATAGTATGTTATATATAATAGTTTTGTATTTGTTTTGCTCTTCTAGAAGTCCAATATCAAATTTGCCTAGTGTGACTCTATACATCAGTCTTGGTCAAGATGTATTGACCAATTTTCTCTTAATGAGATTTTTTGTTCTTTAGCAAATGTTGTAATTTTAATAAAAACTACCTTGCTTGTGAAGTTATATTGCCAGGCAAGAATAGATGCTGTACCAAAATACTTAAGAAATCTTTTTATTTCTGCTATGCTTGTTTCTCTCAGAAGATTCCAGAGTGTAAAAAAATAGGAAAATTCATTTATATAGTCTTTTAAGATAAAATCTCTCTTGGGTGCTTATACTAAGTTAAATATGTCTTTATGCTTTTTAACTTTTTTACTGTTTTTGCTTTCTAAACTGCTGTGTTTATCTGTTGAGAGGGGTTTAATCAGACCACAGTTTAGTGTGCCAACTTCATTTTGTATTAGTATACTTTGACTAGTTTCAAGCTTATTGTTAGTTAAAGTGTTTGTTTCTTTATGTTCAGTAAGACATCTTTTATGAACAGAACTTTTGGCATCAATTGGTATACTTTTTTCATAGTTGCTTGATAGAGTAATTGGCTTAACAGAGACAATATTTATCAGAATAGAGCTATTTCTGTCAAATTCTTCTTGAATATCATTTGCAGTAACTATACTTCCTAGCAAGGTTTTCTTCTCATCTGGAATAGACTCATGCTTGAACTTTTTACTCTCTGCCTATTTATATTTTTCAATAACAATGCGAATAATTGCAATAAGGCAGACATCATTCGTTCTAAGATACTCTGTGACAAATTTGTCTTTTTTTAGCATTGTTGTCTCTTGTTTACTATAAAGCGCAAGTTTTTCTTCTTTTGATTTGAAGAAAAAGTTTCTATATTCTATAAGTGGTGGTATTCTTATTTGCACATAACTTGTATTTGTGTTGATATTTGTTTGTTTACTTTAATCATAGACATGTTATATAATTGTTTGTTGTTTTTAGTGATCTATATTACAAGGTCAAAGCCAATTCCCAAAAAATTAATTTTGTAATTTTTCTTGGTGCTTCTTTTCTCTTAGTTTATAAAGTACTTTTAGGTAGTATATTTTACTGTTTTTTGACTGTTTGTCTTTAGCTTGATTTTGGTACCAGAATCTGCAGAGGAGAATTTCCTCATATTATTAATAAAGTAAAGACTTCTATTAGTTATTATATAAACTAAGTATCTATAGTGGCAAATAATTTTTTAGTAAATGAAGCTGGCTGTTTAATAGACTATAGTGTTTGGTGTTGCTTTTGATTCTAGCCACTTAGTCATATAGTTGACAGCAACTATAATATATTAATTCTTATTTATAGTTAGTTTCAAAAGCCTAACAAAGTTAATTTCTATTTTATAAAAGAGAAACTTAACCAAAAAAAGCTATAGAGGTTCTTTAATACAATATTTGCTTTGTCTTTAATATTGATTATAGGCCTGAACATATTTTCAAATATGTTTATATATCTAGAGCTAATAATATCAGTCTTTTATTTTCTCAAATATCTTTTTAATCTCTAAATAAGCTTCTAAGATGTAGTTATATATTAAATACAAGATAGAATTTACCTCATGTAGTTGGATTATTCTTAATTGCTAATTTTTAGTTTGTCTATATTGATTTCTCTTGTAGAGTAAATATTTAAATACTATATAGAATTTATTTTGTGCTTTTAACCACTATTTTTATCTTGTAAAATTATATAGATAACTAGCAGTTTCTAAAAAGTTTTTGATTTAGTTATACTAGAGACTGCCCCATTTAAAAAAAAATAACTTAGGTCATCCAACAGGTGGACCTACAAGTTATCTAAGTAATTACCTAGGTCTATTAGATGACCTATTTACTCAGGTCATCTAGGTCAATCAGGTATCTCAAGTCAAAATCATATCAAATGTACATGTTGCTCTTTATTACTATTCTATATTTTTTTATCTCTCTGACTTGGCAAAATTTGCAATTAGCTAAGTATTCAAAAAAGATTGCTAAAGTACTAAAGTAACTGCTATAGATTCTTATTTTTATATTAACAAATTACTATTTTACTTCTTATACTAATAAAAAATATAAAGGATATCTGAAAAAAATTGCAAATGCTTACTATTTCTTAAAACTAGCTATTCAACTCTTGTTCTAATAGACAACTTCAAGAATGCATTCGAAAATAGCATAATACACTTTGTAGAATATTTTAGATTTTGGTAAATATAATATTTGTAATAATTTATTACTAAACATATATGATATAGTTAAATATTTATAATAATTTATTACTAAACATATATGATACAGTTAAATATTTATATAATAAAAGGTAAATTATTAAAAAAATTTATTTTAAGTCCAAGTATTTTTGTAATATAAAGCATTGTGTTTAACAAATAATAATTGGTTAACAAATTCTAATACTAAATAAGTTTTCTTATTGGTAATTTGATTTTTTGCATTAGAAAAAAGTTATTTACTTAGAACAGAAGTAGCAGGAATTTCTAAATATTTATGCACTATTTTACTTAGAATTGAAAAGATATGTTTGTCTGAATACCACTATTTATATATATCAGTAGCCTTAGGTTGTACTAGTATAACTGATTTATTCAAGTAATTATCAATTTTGATTTTACTATTTATCTGATTTTTATCCCAGCTAAAGATTTTTTTATAAAAGAAGGTGTGGATAAAGAACTTTTAGCTTTAGCTTCAGTACCCAATTCATCAGCTATAACTATAGATTGCCAAATTCTAAATTTAGTATGTAGTTTATTAATAGTTTTATTTTGTATTTTTCTTGATTACAGTTTCATTGACTTCAATTGTGGATCCAACAAAGTAGTAATTAGCCCAATGTTTTCTGAATCTTGCCAATAATGCCAAAGAGAATTGTATATAATTTCTTAAATCTTTGATATTATTGTTTTATTAGAGGCTGGAGACAATGGCTAGATGCTAGTTATTTCATTATCAAAACCTTTTTCAGATAATATTTCATCTAAAATAAAAATTTGAGAAAAAACTTTAATATTGTATTTATTAATATAAAAAAAAAACTTTATACTAACTTTTATTTGTATTAATAGTTTTTTTGAATTCATTATCAATTATAGCACCATCAGCAAATTTATATTTTAATACTTCAATACTTGGATTAATAACTGAAAAGATATTATTGTATTCTACTAAAATAAGTAGTTAGTTTGTCAAATAGTTTAAAAATTTTTACTAATTCTTTTAATAAACTCCATTTATGAGCATTAAATATAAGGTTGTTTAATATTCAAGAATCTTCTTCAGCACCTTCTTTATTTTGTAAACATAAGGTTAAAGAGAGCTGTTCTATTGCTTGATGAAGTATTAAAAGCCTTTTCTAGGAATAGTAGATAAAATTCTACTGAGTACTTATATCACTAATTGTATGCAGAATCTTTGATTCTATATATATTTCTAAGTTATCATTTTTATCTATTTCTTCTGTTTCTTCTTTTTTTAGATTAGATGAGCTTTCAAAAGTGTATAGTTAAATAGGAATTGTAGTTTTATTATGTTCAATTTGTGCTTGATCAAGATGTTGAGTTTGTTTTGGTGATTGAAAAAATTTAATAAGGTTATGAATTTGTTTTGTATATGGTTTAATAATTTTCAGGGTCTTAATAACTATTAGTTGAAATGTGTGTGCAAAGCAGGAAAGATATTCAACACTATTTCAAATTCTAATAGCCTTTTTCATATTTGAGCTATTATCCATTATTGTATAGAATATTTTTGTTTTTATTTCAAACTCTTTAACCTTTTTATTTAAATATTCCTTAATTTGCTCTTCTGTATATAGGTATTTTATTTTTTTTATTAACAGAATTATATTATGGATTTCAAATTTTGGCATTAACCAGTAGAGAGTTACACCAATATAGCCATTATTGCTACAAGCTGTCTATTGATCTGTTATTATAGAGGCAGTTTCACATATGGGTAGATATTAATTCTTTTAACTCTTGTACACTCTTTTAATAGGTAACAGTAAAATATTGTTTGATGTCTTTATTACTTGGTAGTTGAAATACTGGATCAATATGAAGAATTATTTTTCTGTATTCTTTTTTGTGAATAGTATTAAATGGTAGAGAATCAGTGATCAACCATTTAGCTATAATATGTTTTAACACTGTTTGTTTGAATATAGAGTGAAGAACAACTTTCTTAATCATTTTATCAATGTGCAATTAACTTTTTTCATTAGGTTTTGGGTTATCCATCTCCACTATTTCATGTACTGATTGAAGATGTAATTTCATATTTTTTGTTCTGCTATCATGTTTATAATTTCTTTTATATATATCATCTTTTTCCTTTTTCATTATGACTATTTTACAGATATCTTGTTTGTTATTAGCTTCGAAATATTTCCAAATATAACTTGTTCTGGGTTGTTTACTTTGAGGATTTGATTTATTTTTAGTTTGAGTAAATCTTATCTGAAATTTTTTTTATTTGACTCTACAATAGAATCCTCAGTAGTATTATAAGGTTCATTGTTATTTGAATAGATAATTTCAGAGGTAAATTTATTTTTGCTATCTATTTTATGAGTTTAATAATAAATTATAATATTGATTATACTTTAATGTAAATTAAAATAAGTTTTTTATTGAAAAAAAATTTAGTTGCAAAGAGAACTTCCTATTATGCAATATTAACAAATTTTAAGTGACAATTTGTTACATTTTTGACTTTTCAATTGAAGTAACGTCAGCAGTACTATCTGTAATAATACTAAACTTTTTACTAACTACTTCAATTTTATTCTATCCTAATATAATATTTTATTATTCTTTAACTTTGTTGTACTCTTTAGCAACTTAACACTATCTTTATTTATAGTTTTAACAATATCATTGAAGATACTAATTGTAACTCTAACTAACTATAGCTTTTTTTTAAAATATAAATAAAGCTTATAACTCAGTTAACTTTAAACTAGTTTAAAAATTACTATACTATATCCAAATGTTCTAACAACTTATTAATAATTTAACTAACTTACTATTTAATTGTACCAACTATGTTATTACCAATCTTGGGCTTATTGATTTTTATTTTGTTAAAAATAGTATTAATTGAAGAAAAAAAATTATCTCTTTTTTCTAAAAAATTCACTATGACTCTCTTATTTCATATATTTCTATATATTTTTTTAAAAATATACTCTCTACTTCTTGGCAAACTAGTCTTATATACTTCTTCTTTAACTACTCCAATACTTCAATATTTATATTTGTATATATAGATAATATTCTATAAATTGCCAAATTCAAATTGCAATTTAAAGAGGGAATTGCTATTTCCACCATGGTAATTTGCTATTTCCACCATGGTAGATCCCACTTTCCGGATTTTCCCGGTTAA